CTGGTGGTGTCACCCCAAAAGGAGTAACCAGGCTGGTGGAAGCGAAGGTGAACTATTGTACTGCTGTTGTCAGGGCTCTGAGTCGAAGCTGCCCAGCATGGAAGCACCAGGGTTGCAGGGTGGGCGGTGTAAAAACCCCTTACTGGTCTTCACAACCTTAATTATTTTTTAAATATAGTTTGTTTGTTTTTAAAACCCCTCCCAAGATCATGGACCTTACACAACTTACCCCACTTCAGAGTGTGTGTATCTGCCTCTGTTGGCGAATGCCTTCCCCATGGCACTCCCCAGATAAAGGTTGTGAGTAGGTGTCTCTGCCCACAGTTGCCTGCAGATGTTGCCTATTGGGTCAGACAGTGTCACTGCTCCTCCAAAGGAGCATTTCCTGCCAGATGTGAGCCAATGACAGTGCGTCCCCTCTTCACTGGGTTCTCCGGGAGGGCCGTGGCGAAGGAGTGAGGCTAAAAGCTGAGCACATCCGCCTAGCAAAGTGCCTCATGTTAGCGAGGCCGTGTCCCCTCTCCATCACTCCCTGCCCCAAATTGTAATAACATGATCGTGCTATTTTTGGTTCCTTATTTGCGTGGAAAGCCTGTTGTTTTTTCTTTCCTCTTTCAGAATCCAATTTTCTCTTGACATTTCTGCCTAATGTAGCTAAACATGACCTTTGTGAAAGGACACTTCCAGCAAGATGTCCTCCCTCCTCTGCAGCTGTGTCTGCCGCTCTTCTACATCTCTCTCTATCTCTCACCCATCCCCTTTTCCACCCTCCCCTCTTCTCTCTCTGGTGTGGGGACTGTAGAGCATTTACTGGCTAATCTTTCTGTAGCGATGGGAGTTTCCTACCCTCTCCTCAGCTGGCAGTGCCAGGCTCCCGAAGGCTGACTCTTCTCCGAGGGACACTGAAGCCTGATTCTCTGGGGCATGCCTGCAAGTTGTGCCCATTTCCCAAGACTTTCCCGCGCATGGGAAGTAGGAGCTGTGGGCTTGTCTACATGGAGACTTAGTGGGTGGCAAGGTGGGGTGTAGACCTCCAGCATGCTAGCCTGCCACGCACTAACTGGCTGTGTGGACCTTGCTGCCGTGAGTTCTGTAGTTTGGTTTGATCCACTGCTGAGTGAAACTGTAGTCGGTCTAGGCGCACTATGGAACTCTTAGCATGCAATAGCGAGGTCCACACGGCCCGTTAGCATGCAGCAGGCTAGCACATTGTGGATTTACACCCCAGCTTGCCAGGCGCTAAATCCACAGCGTTGGGAATTAAGGGATCTTTGCTGCCTCAGTGAGATTCTTGCAGTTTGCAGTGCTTTGTGCATGCTATGATGTATGTAGCGTGACATGAAGCCACGGCTTATGGATGCAGCAGTGTCATGTGGCTACAAACACACAGCTGTATGACACCAGCTGGGTGGGGTTTATCCCCTAACCAAAGTGAACAACACATACTGGGGAGTGTTTGCCTTGTAAGCAATATAGATGTGTCTGGGCTTCAACTGCAGAATTCCAGATCTGACCTCTTCAGGAGAGGTTGTTCTAGGTTAGAGCAACCCCTGGGCTGTTCTAAACTATGCTGTCTTGAATATGAGTGGCAGAGAGGTGGCTTAAAGTGACATTTGCCTTTCAACACCTGGCTATGGCTTCTGTGCTACGTGTCTCATAAAGCACGCCTAGAATCTGCCATTGACTCTCTCCTGGGGGCTGGATGGCACACTGGCTTGTTATTGCAGCATCTCTCAGGCAGGTTGGGTTGCAGAGGCCAGGGTGTCTCAGGTGGGCTGGCTGGGCAAAGACACAGAGCAGGCAGGTTTCCAGGGGCTTTATGAGGAAGATGGTGAGGAGTTCTTCCAAGCTGGAAAGGTAAAACTCCTTCAGAGACTCCTGTACCCAAAAAAGATCAGTTTGGATTTGTAGGACCCATCCCTTTAATCGCCCCTAGCACTACACACCTGGCCTCACTGTATATTGCTTTCTTATTCTGAGAGTAAGAGCCAAATGAATCTAATAGCCCAAACCCTTCAGCCTCCTTCATGTATCAAACCCACATAGAGCCGAAGTCAGTGCCTCTCCGTGTCCACTCTCAATGCTGCCTTATGTTTATCCCATTTCCCTGAGTCTGATGGGGATCCTCGTGCCTGGCCTATAGCAAACTTAGCTGCCTTTGTGCCACCTCCTCCTCTTGCCCCATATTTCCTCTTTAGCTGGCTGCAGATTTAATGAGGCTCTGGGTCTCTTGTTCATGTCTCTTGCTCTTGGTTGCCGTTCTCAGTGAATAAGGTCACAGCATGAATGATCTGTGCAGCCAAGGAACCGTTGTCATAGTTGATTAATTGCCATGCCTGCCCAGGCATAGGTGACTAGGGCAATGATGATTCAGATGGGCCAGCAAAGGGGAGGGAAATTAGAGGATGAGGAGGGGTTTGAGTGGCATGAGAGACCGAAAAGTGTCAGTGCTTTAATGGGAGGCAGGGAGATCAAGGAGAGTGGTGCCATTGGTGGTTAATAAGGGTGCAGAACACCACTGCTGAGAAGGGGGAAAGAAGGTCCTGAAGCAACTCTACTCTGCAAATCCTGTTCACTGGCCATTAGTTGCTGGCATGCAGTGATGGAGCTGGCTTCCCGTTCCTCCTCAAGCAGCAGGCTCTCCCCCACTACCAGCACTGCAGGAATGGGCTCCCCAACCAAAGACTCTCCTGGGCAGACATTGCTGCCTCTGCACTCAGGGTGTAGGACCCCAGATCTCAGCCTTCGCTGTGTGGGGGTGTGACTTAAATAGAACAGATAATGACTTCAGAGGCTACTGACGTTTACTGCTGAACTTCCAATTAGAGCCTAAACTCGGGGTTCACCTGTGATCCTCCCCTACCTCTTGGTTCTTGCTGTAAAATGGGAGTTCAGTTGGGAAGAGGAGAAGGCAGAGTTAATTAGGCTGTAATTAGGAGAAGGCTTTCTGATCACTCACACTGATGATTAATGGTTTGGAGTTTTTTCCCCTAGTTTCTGCAGCTGTGGTTTTTCATGCTCAAGTTGTTGCAGGTGCAAAAACTTCAGCTGGCAGGTGTGAGCTGAATTTGTGTGTGTAGACTGAGCTGTCAGGTGTGTAGCTTTGATGTGCCAAGCTGTGAGGGCTAATTCTTCGAGTGCTTGATCATGTCGATTCTGTGTTAGGTAAGCGCGAGCCCATGTGTACGGCTGCCGGAGATTTTTGTCTTACTGTTATCCATAGGGCCAGGTCTGGAGCCCCATGCTCATGCGCTGGTATATGAGTTGCCACCAGCCCTGCGCTCTGTCAGTTCCTTCTTACAGCCCTGGGTGGTTGCTGGAACGCCTTTCCTCTTGTGACTGCAAGCGCTTATAGTGGTTCCGTTTCATAGTTTCTTGTATATAGTTGTTCATAGAGTTAGTATTTAACAGTTGGTAAGTTACAGTTAGTTAGTGGTCCTCTTAGGGACGTCATCCCTGGGATGGGGCATGCCCCAGTCCCCGGGCTTCAAACCGTATTCTGCTTTCCATAAGCCTATGCCTGTGAGCGACCCCCATGCAAACTGTCTGAAGTGTTTGGGGGAGATGAACATTAAAGATAGGTGCCGATTCAAGACCTCTGCAGAGCTGCTACCTGGTCGTCAGTCCATACCTTTGTGTCCCATTACACCATCACCCAGCAAACTCGGGACAATTCCAACTTCAACAGAGCAGTGTTGCAAACAGCACATCCGTGAACTCTGAGCCCACCTCCAGGGATACTGCTTGGGAGTCACGTAACATGGAATCACCATGAGCAAGCACTCGAAGAAGAAAAAATGGTTACTAGCCTTCCGTAGCGGTTGTTCTTTGAGGTTTGTTGCTCATGTCCATTCCATGAGTTGGAGTTGACAGCAAGAAGGAACTGAGAGGGCATAGGGCTGGCAGCGCCTCATATACCAGCGCATGAGCACGGGGCTCCAGAGGGCGCCAGAGCCGGCCCTACGGATACCACTAAGGCAAAAATCTCTGTTAGCCGGGCACAGGGGCGCACACGCTCACCTAACATGGAATGGACATGAGCAGCACATGTCAAAGAACAAGTTATGGAAGGTTAGTAACCATTGGTTTTTTTTTTTTTGAGCATGGGTTGAAGATCCATTGAACATTTAGCCTTTTACAAAATTTAGGTTCTTTGTTTTTCCTGTCATCTTAAAATGAACCCATAATAAAATACAGGTAACCCTTCTGTGTGTGTGTGTGTGTGTGTGTGTCTTTCTCTCTCTCATACTCTGCCTCTGTCCTCTCTGAGTTAGTCTTTGACCCCTGTTTGCTCTCTTTCCCATCTCCAGCTCTTTTTGTCTCTTTCCTTCTTTTACTTGACTCAGTAGATGTGGGCACTGGTTTGTAAAATGTTCCCAGAGACAGAAGAGGTCGCATTTCTGTAGTTTTGGGTGGAGTGGTGCTAGGATGTGGTTGCTCCTAGTTGCTACAGCAGTAGTCCCTTTTGGTGTGAATGACGCAGAGCCTAATGGGAAAACAAATATACAAATCCTATTTTAAAATTTCCCTTCTCTGTGTTACTGTTAACACTTTAGACTATCACAGCTGAAATAATTCTAAAGATTAGCATTTATTTCATACCATGCAGTTTGTTTATCTCTTTCACTCGAGTTTGGAGAGTGAAACCGGGCTGATCAGTTTTCCTTTCTGTTTGTAGCTGGTTCCCTTTCCGGTTCTCAGGTATGGTTGCAGGGAATTGTTCTGTTTGTCTTTTTCACTCTGCAACAGAATATGGACTGTTTTCACAAAAAGGAAAGGAAGTCTTCTATCCACATTCAATATTTAAATTAAAATTAAAACATTAAAATATTTTAAACATTAAAATATTTTTACTAAACCTTAAGTTGGGGCCTTAGATGACTGGACAGCCTTCCTGTAGCTGTAAATTGTAGAGGAAAATTCTGAGCTCTGAGGAACCCCGTAGGGTCTGGTGCAGAGGGAATTATTCACCATGAATTCTTTCTCTTGTTAATTTTCAGAAACCTCTCCGATAACCGGCTTACCACACTGTCATGGCAACTCTTCCAGACACTGAGACTTTCTGAACTGTAAGTTCCATCCTGGAGGGATCTCCTGGGAGTGGGGGGAGGTGGGGGAGAGGTACAGAAAGTCCCCCCACCCCCCCAAAAAAAGATCAGTTTTGAAACCTGTGATGTATGAGTGTGAATAATTATCTAAAATCCCAGAGGGCAGAGTGAATTCTGGAAGGGGTTCCTGGGCATGGACGCTCCAGAGCCCAGCTGCTTCTCTGTTAACTTCATAACATCTTGTGAATTGACGTTCGGGGCTGATGATAAAGCCATTTCTGGGCTTATAATGGTTTGGCTAAATGCAAGGCCAGATTTTGAGGGGACCTCTGTAAGGACCAGACCCTGTGAGATGGGAAGAGTCCTCCACTCCCATTCATTTGCTGGCTGTGGTTGTTTGTATGGCAAGGGTCATCCAGTGTGGAGGGGTGCGTTTCGTAGTCGATGGTGGCTGTAATGGTGGGTGACTCCCTGGCTCTTGAGTAACCAAGGCACCTGCCAGATCCTGTGTGGACGAGAAGCGAGTATCTCTCCTGGGTTACCTGAGGGCTGCAGCCCACTGAATTATGGATAAAGCATGCTCTACTGCGTCTAAAGAGTAAGTGGACATGAAATCAATGGAGCACTGCCCCGGTGACCTGTTTTGTTGAGTTTTAGAAATAGTTGTTAGGTGGATATAAAAAAAAATGTGTGATTTATCCCAGAGGATCATGGGATATCCCATTCATCCTCACCTGTGATCAATACAGCTGTAAGCTAGAAGTGACTTATGAAAGAATAATGACAGTCTCTCAAGTGGGAGTAAATGTGTTATCACCGCTGTTACTGCAGTGTATTTTATTTCTGTCAAATTGTTAAATGAAAAATACTAATAGTAATATTAGAAAATAAAGAAATACCCATCTGATGGGGAATCTGGCTTGCAGAGGTAAACGCTGGATTTGGAATTCATCTCTGCACTGATTGCAGCTCAGAACAGTTCCAAGTCCTGCTCAGGTTTCAAGTTTAAAAGAGGTGAGTGGCTTCTAGTCTTAGGTTTCCATTTGTTCTCATTGCACCATCTGGCACAGTTCAGATTAGCAGTTGCTAGCCAAGAGAGGCCTATGAATGGAAGGCAGGGTGGGGACTGCAGGTCAGGACTGAGGTGCATTGGCAGAGTTTTGGGGGAAAGCCCAGGGCTGGGATAACGAGGTGCTGCAGATCAGGACTGGAGTACTTTTGCAGAAATCTTTGGAGTCAAGGGATAGAATGGGGTGTGCTGCAGATCAGGGTAAATACTCTCAATATTAATTTGTTTTTAAAATGGTTCTGTCCCATTTGGTTATATTGCACTTCAAGTATATCCCATGTCTACAACCCCACATCAGGCCAGCACCGTCAATGATGGAAACTGAGGATCCTTCATATTTGGGCAGCAAAAAATAGCAAAGAATCCTCCTTCTTGCCCTACAACAGGGATTTCGACCTGTTTGAGCTTGCTTCATGTTGTGGCAGCAGGGTAACTCATGATCATTAGGGTAACTTATGGTTGATAGGCTGACCATCAAGTGAGCTATATGAAGGAGGAGAATGGAAGTGGTGTAAACAGTTCAGTTCCTTTTGGAGCCTCTTGCGGGGGGTTTTTCTAGGAGTTAGTGAGCCATGACTGGTGGGAGAAGTAACATGGATGAAGTCGCTGGGGATCAAAGAAGGGGAAAAATGGCACTGCCATTATCAAGCGGTGTGGTGTTAGCTATCCCTTATAAAGCTTCAGGCCTCTAGTGCTGGGAAAGTATTAACTCCCAAGTGTGTGCTCCTCAAGCTATCAAAGTGGCTCTTAACATGAAAAACCCGTTGGGTTTATGCCTGTGGGGGATGACTTCCTTTGAGTTGAATCAGAATCAGCATTCAATTCAGATAAACAGATTACACAGCCCTTTGACTATGATGCCTCTCATCAGAAGTTTCCAGATGGGATCCTGCTCAGCAACCACTCTCCATCCATCTGAACAGTGGCCAGGCTGGTGATCAGCAGTAGGACAGGACAGGGATGCTGCTCCGGGAAGTCTGGAAGAGAGAGGGGAATCTTTCTTAGCTGGTTGTGAGAGTACCAGTGTTGGTGGGAGGTGTGCTTTGAGCACTTCTGCTGGGATAGAGACGAGGGTGGCATGGGTTCTACAGAACTTGAGATGTGGTTGAGAGAAGACTGAAAGGGGTGGAAATCAAACTACAAGGGTGAATAATCATGAATGCAAAGCTGCTAGAGAGTGAGAGGGAAAGAGAGAACTGAATAGATATATTGCACACAGATTTGACCCCTAAAGCTCAGAGGGCAAGATGAGTGAAATGAGGAATAAATCTCCAGCAGGCTCGGGAGAGGTTAAGAACTGATGGGCAAGGAGAAACATAACATTTAAAAATCCCAAGAGGCTCAGCCAGTATAAGACATTTATATCACATCAAACTACAAGATGGGTTACGAGACTTGGGAGCGGGGTGGAATACACAGTCCACACAAGGTGACAGTGTAGTACTAGTAGAAGCTAGAGAGAAAGCTGCAGCGTGAGGTTGGCTAAGAACTTGAAGGTGAGCCAAATCTCTCTTGAAAGGAAGAAAGTAATGAAATGAGAAGATAGATGCAGAGAGACAGCAAGTGTGAGAAAGGCAGGTTGAGCCGTATGAGCTCTGCAAGGCCTTGGGGAGGCAGGAGAAATATTACAGAAGACACAAGAACACATGTTCGCATGATGTGTGCTATCCTCCAGAGCGATAGGAATATAGGAAGATGAGATGGGGACAAGCTGGCCTTCTAATGGCAACAGCTGCTGCTGCTCAAGGCCAAAGATGGAGCGGTGGTTACCGAGAGGATATCTGGCAGAGTAGATAGCCCCAGCTGGTAGGAGGGGCTTGTCACTTGAACATAACCAGGCAAAAATGATGTGTTAGCATTTCAGGGCATCAAGAGACAGAAATGTCAGTGCAGGTAAAGATGCCCTCAGGGGGCCAGCTGAAAGAAGTGGAGCAAGCAGTCAAGGTAATGATGGGAATGTGAGAGATTGGAGACCTGGGAAGTGTAAAGAGTTCAAATGACGCTACTAAAATGTGCCAGACAAGCCTTGACTCTTTGGGACAATACGTGTTAAATGGCTTTCCTGGGGAATCCCTGGGGAGTGTTTAACAAAAATGCCACAACTCCGATTTTGCAAGAACCCAACTTTTTGGAGTTACACCCTGAGGAGAGGGCCATCGACTGTTGATTGCCTGTTCCCAGAGACTGAAGATCAAAGGCCTGAGCTGTATAAAGAAGTAGCTGATCTGCCTAGCTTTTATTCTGGTTCCGATTTAATGATTGATGTGAGCCCAGGGAAAACCCAGTTATGGGAGTTCAAGGACTGACAGCTGCCAGAGCCCTATGTTGGAGTTGGGGTGACCCCAGTAAGCTTTTAGTATGCATGTAGGTGCTTTTCTTGTGTTTTTGTCTGCTTCCGTTGTAATACTTTGACTTTCAGAATAAATGTGCTTATTTCAAAGGAGCTGTGTGTTAACTTATAGTGTCTGGCCACATACTGCTCATTGCCCTTGGGGAGAGAGCAAAGTGCAGATGCTGGCCATTTAGGGAGACTGTCTTACTGGGGGTATCTGTGTAGATCAGGGAGCTGTACAGTCTCAAAGACACCAGCCAGAAGGGAGTGAGATGCAGGTCACCGCCCAGGAGCGGTCGCAGCTGGAAGCCCTCGAGGGACCATGGAGGGGGAAATACAGGTGCAGTTACTCTGAAACCGTGACAGGGAGAAACAGCTCCTTGGGGAGGATTGGGAGGACGTGACATGAAATGGAGAGCAGCTAGAGAATGTCAGGCCTGATGAAGCCATTCACAGCAAACACTGGAGAGGAGAGAGTGTGGAAATAGTAACACCAGAACCATGCCACCCGTAAGATCTGGCTGACATATGGGAATTTCCTGAGGAACTCCAAGCTTCAGTGGGTTTGTGTCTGCTGTTTAGGTACATGGAACCAACAGCCTCATTGCAGGAATGAGTAGGTTTTTGCATGCTAGGGCTTCTTTGTCATTGGCCAGAGCCAACCTTCTCCCTAGCCAACAGTTCCCCCAAAGGGACTGGCAAGAGGTCATCCCTTATTGATGATTTCTACATGTTCCCCACTCCTGCTGGCGCAGGGACCAAGTCACTGGTTCTTGGCATCAAACATAAGGCAGATCCCTTTTAGGGCAGGATGACTTTGTATGAATACAATACAGTGCACTACAAAGGAAAGTCCCGATCAACTCCTTTTTAGTCAGCGCCGCAGGGACTTGAGAAACAAGAGGTTTGATACTGAAATATACCTCCTCCACTCCTGGAAAAAGCCATGTCTGGGGATGGCTTGCTGTGAGTCAACCCCTAACTCTCCTAGGCTCAGACTGACCTTGAATGGCAGGTCTCCAGCCAAAAGATGTGCATCTCTTGTGAGCCTGTAGTGTGCAGAGCTCATGGAAGCTTCAGAAACATGCTGCGGCTCATAAACATTGGCCTTACAGCCCTTGTTGTCCAGAGGTCACTGCTGGCTTCCTCCGTCATGCCCTGGGAGAGCTTAGGGCTGACCTTTCAGGAGAGTTTTGTAAAAAACCTGCCCCCAAAACTGACCTTCTCAGGGCAGTGAGAGATCCAAGCCTTCCTTGCTCCAGTTGCATCTGTCATTTGATAAAACCTTGGCGTTACAGGCACTCCTCCCTCACCCAGACCTCCAGTCCTTCTGAAGCAATCTGTAGCTGCCTTATTGCCCTGCAAAACATTTCCATAGTGCTGTTGTGAGAGGTGACGGTGCTGAATAGGGCATAGCAGAGTGTCTGTTAATATCATGAGCACAAGTTAATTTCACATGGTGTCCCTTGCTCAAGGACTTATTGCCACCGACAGGCACGCTAATGGAGTTGGCTGTACACAAGAGGGGCTTCCCTGCTGGGTGCAGGGGACTAATTCAGCAACCAGAAACCATGCCTCTCTCTGTAGATTAAATCTCCCCTTCTCGTTCCATTTTCTGCC